GTATTGCTGGAGCAGATTGAGGAATTGGATATGAAGGAAGAAAGGGGATCATTTGGAGAGGAACACAGGAAGGTGAGATGGGATCTAAGAAGGAGGGTGGAGGATATTCTGGTTAAGGAGGAAATAAGTTGGAGGCAGAAATCCAGGTGTAAGTGGCTAAAGGAGGGAGATAGAAACACTAGATTTTTCCATTTGGTGGCAAATGGAGGAGAAAAAAGAACTTCATATCAAAGTTGGAAGTAGAAGGTGCAATTTTGTTGCACTTGGTAGAAATAGCAGAGGCCTTAGTAAATCATTTCAAATCTATATTTAGAAGGCCTTTGAATGAGAGGGTGTGGTTGGAGGGATTGGAATGACTGACTTTAAGTGCAGAAAACAGAGAGTGGTTAGAAAAGAGTTTTGATCTGGAGGAGATAAAGGAAACAATATTCTCAATAGATCAGACAAAAGCTCTGGGCCCAGATGGTTTCACAATGGCATTCTATCAAGATTGCTGGGATATAGTGGTGAAGGATTTTAGGTCGGTCTTCAAGGAGTTTCACAGAAGGGGAATAATTAATCTGGGGTTGAACTCAATTTTCATTGCTTTGGTCCCAAAGAAGAAAGAGGCATCACAACCAAAGGATTTTAGACCTATCAGTTTGGTGAATAGCTTGTATAAAACAATTGCATAAGTGTTGTCTGGATAAAGAAGGTCCTTCCCATTATCATTGCACCCAACCAAGGAGCTTTTGTGGAGGGAAGACAGATCACTGATCAAATCCTCATTGCTAATGAGAGTTTGGAGAGCATTAGGAAATCTAAGAAGAAGGGGGAGTGGTATGTAAATTTGATTTGGAGAAGGCTTATGACCTAGTTGATTGGTCTTTCTTATTGGAGGTGTTGAGAAGCTTTGGCTTTGGAGAAAGGTGGTGTAAATGGATATGGGGCTGTATTAGGACTTGTCACTATTCTATCTTGGTGAATGGAACTGTGGTTGACTTCTTTCCTGCTTTGAGAGGTATACGACAAGGAGATTGATCCACAAAGCAGACTCGAGGAATTTGATAAAAGGGTGGCGAGTGGGAAGGGATGAGGTACCATTGACACATCTATAGTTTTCAGATGACACAATTTTGTTTGTGAAGGTGGGGACATAAATTGGATCTGAAATTTAAAATTGGCAATACAACTCTTTGAGCAGATGTCTAACCTCAAGGTGAATTTTGATAAGAGTTGTGTGGTGGGAGTGAATGTGGAGGAGAGGGAGTTAAGGGAATATGCAGGCGTGTTAGGTTGTGCAATCTCGGATTGGCCTTTGACATACTTGGGCGTCCCTTTAGGAGATAATCCTAAGAATGTAAGATTTTGGAATTTGGTAGTGGAGAGATTTGAGAAGAGGCTTACGTTCTGGAAGAGAAATTATCTTTCCTTAGGAGGGAGAGTCACTATGGTCAGGTCTACCCTAGCTAACCTACCTGTTTACTATCTGTCAGTGTTTAAGATCCCCACTAAGGTTTCCAACTTATTGGAAAAATTAATGAGGATTTTTCTGTGGGAGCCTGGAGAGGAGAAGAGAGATCATAGGGTGAGTTGGGAGGTGGTAATTAGACGTAAAAAACTAGGAGGCCTTGGGATTGGAAACATCAAGAAAAGGAATATGACTTTGCTGGGAAAATGGTTATGGAGATTTACAATGGAAAGGGAAAAATTGTGGACAAAGATTCTGGCTAGCATACATGGGCTGGAAGACAATGGTTGGGATCCTGGAATTGTGACAAGGGCTACAACTGCTTCTCCTTGGAAATCCATTCACGATCTGCTTCCAGCTTTCTCCCCTTGGATCAGGTACGGTCTTAACTCTGGTAATCGAATAAAATTATGGGAACAACTTTGGGTGGGGGTTTCACCTCTGAAGGACCAGTTTCCCTCCTTGTATGCTTTGTCAGACTTGAAAAATGAACCTATCTCTTCTTTCTTAGGTCCTTCAGACTCCACTTCTGATTTTGGGTGGAACCTTGGCCTGCGAAGGGCAATTAGGGATACCGACTTGGACAACATTTTACCTTTGTTAGCCATCCTTGAGAATGTTTTCCTAGATCCTAATAAGGAAGACAGCAGAATTTGGACCCCTTCCACCTCAGGTACTTTCTCTTGTGCTTCGTTTTTTGAAACCTTAACTCAGTCTTCTGTTCCTCTTGGGTTGTCCTTTCCGGTTAAGGAAATTTGGCATAAGCCTATTCCTCCTTGGGTCGGTATTTTTTGTTGGGAAATTTTCCTGGAAAGAATAAACACAAATGATTTACTTCAGAAAAAGAGACCCAATTATTGTTTACTTCCTAATAGATATTCTCTTTGTAATGCTGATGGGGAATCCGGTTACCACCTTATGGTCTCTTGTAAGGTTACTAAAACTGTATAGGAGTGGGCTCTTTCCCGCTTTGGGTGTTCTTGGAATCCTCCCGAGAGTGTCTAGAGTTTGTTCTCTCCTTCGTTTTTTAGATGGCCTAAGAAGCGAGGGAAGATTATGTGGAGGAATTAGGGCAGTCGTGTGTTGGTTCTTGTGGGAAGAAAGAAATTCACGAATTTTTTCAGATAAGGAAAGAACTCTGGAAGACCTATTAGACTTAATACTTTTAAGGGCTGCCCACTGGCTAAAACCATTGGAATTGTTTTCAGACTTTCATGTGGCTGACCTGTTAAGAAACTGGAAAGAGATAGCTACCTCTGCGCTGTGTAAGAGGAATTGAATTGTGACGGCAGTAGTTTAAGGAATCCAGAGTCCTTTGGGATTGGGGAAGTATTCAGGAATGAGGAAGGGATTGTTATTGCTTTGTTCTCGGGCCCTATTGGAGAAAGAGGCTCTCTTAGGACTGAGATCCTTGCAGCTCTGGAAGGAATTCAAAGAGCAAGGGAACTAAATATCAATTGTTTGATCCTGGAAGGTGATTCAAAGGTGGTGATTAGTTGGTTGAAGAAAGAGGACAATGGTTTATGGAGCTATAGCAATGAAAAGAAAAAATTCTTATGGCTGTGTAGGGACATTGAGATACAATACAGCTGGGTGAAGAGGACTGCTGACTCATTTGCAGATGGGTTGGCCAAGCAAGGGGTGAATAGGGAGTCTATCTTTTGGGCTAATTTTTAATTTCCTTTCATTGTATTTTGTTGAAGGGGAGCTAAGACATTTTATCTCCCCCTTTGTATCTAAAGCTTCACAAATCTTCACATAATTAATAAAGTTTCTGTTATTGATAAAAAAAAAAGATGATAACATCACTCTTACCACAAGATTAGTGTCCTGGCCATTATTATTGGAATCATGTATGCTCCTTACCACCCTATGCCAGAGTTTGTTTAAGTCTGGGGAGAACCTCCACAACCCTTTTTTTTTTGATCAATTACAGAATAGCTTTCATTAAAAAATAAGATGAGGTACAACAAAATGGAGGGAGATAAACTCTCTTAACTCCCCACCAAAGAAACACAAAACAAATTACACAAGAGCCCAAAACAAAGCATCCCTATTTACCCCTTGCTTAGCTAATCCATCCGCAAAGTAGTTTACACTTCTTTTAGCCTATTCAGCTTGACTTCAATATCCCTAGTCAACCATTTAAATTTCTTCTTTTCATTGCTGTAATGCCAAAAGCCGGTTTCTTAATGTTCAAGTCCTTGGCCCTTTGTACACCTACCAAAGCTGCCATAATCTCAGCTCAGAGTCACCCTTACCTATTGGACTTGAGAAGAGATCAATAACATTTCCATCCTCATTCCTTAAGACTCCCCCAATACTTGAACCTGAGGGCCCTGGGTTCCCCACACTACTCCCGTCAAAGTTCAACTTAATAAACCCACTAGGAGGTGGGGCCCAAACATGTACAGAAGAAACAGTAGGTGGAGTAGACCTTGGAAATTCCTTAACAAATCATCAGTTGAGAAGTCATTAAATAGCTCCAAAGCCTTAAGCCAATGCACCACTCTGATGTGAATCACCTCCAAGATGGATTGTACCCCTCTTTTCCTTATCAGCAAAAGTTCTCAAGTTCCTTTCTTTCCAAATCGTCCAACAAGCTGCAGCCCTTATACTTCTCCACATAAATTTCCCCCTTTTCACCGGCCACCTGAAAAAAGAAGCAACAGACTTTGCACATTCAGCGGGGGATTTCTTGATAAATAACCTCCACATCCATTTCCTCAACAAGATCGACTTTGCCTTACCCAAACCAAACCCTCCATCTTTTGTCCTACAAACTGTGACTCAATTAACTAGGTGATCTTGTTTTGTTCTCTCCAGCTCTCCAAATGAATATCTAATATCCACCCCCCATTCATCTTCCATGTTGCATGTTTTTTTGGTGAATCTATCTAGGAGCAGGTCCCTAAAGCTACTCACCTTAGGGTTTCCGCTTTTTTCTTAAGGATTTTCTGTAGAGGCTAGTTGGGGTGTATGTACAGACATGCCTTTTGGATAGGATTGGTCCTTTTTGAGTCACCGTTTTCTGTCATTGGGAATGATGGACATCTACACCTAACTTGAGGGGGAGTGTTTGTTTTTTTTCCCGCAACTTGAGGGTAGGGTTGACAGGCCAGCTTTTTTACTTGTTTCATTTGCTTATGGGCCTGCTTAATTTGTGGTTATATTTTTATTTATATTTATGTTGGGCTTATGAGCCACACTATTATGTTTTTGCAATGCAGCCACCTTATGAGGTGTGTATGTATAATTTTATTTTTTTATTAGAACTCTAATGTAAAAGCTAGTGGGGCTCTCATTGGACCCTCATGATCTGCTTTTCTTCCCCTGTATTCTCTTCTTTTCTGTCTTTGTTTTATTCTTTTAGTTTCCTTCCACTAATCTTTTGCTGCATGCTATTTCTCTTGATTTTTGATGGTTAAAATCTAGAAGTTATATGTTTTGCAATTACAGCAAATTAGATACTATCTTTCTATATTAACAGGTCCTCTTGCTAATTATATATTTATATACATTTTTGACAACTGCTTTGGAAGTTTTTCAGTTCTGCAGTCAATGGATCAAGATACCAGGAAGGAGCTCACACCATTAAAATTGAGAACAAAAGCAGCTAAATTTGCCAAAGACACTGTTAAGTCTCAGATGAAATCATTTAAGGTGTTTACTGAGCTTTTCTATTTTTGGATTTTAGTTCCTGGTTTTATCTTTTCATTAAGTATCTTAATGATCTCTATTTACTTTATACCCTTTTAATGTTGATTTATTCACATTGAGATACAGATGATGAATTCTGATTTTGTGTTTCATATGCATGTATTCATTTTGTTGAGGGGCACAGTTAACATTAAAGTCCTTGCTGGAATTACTTGCAGCGCTATGGTGTGTGGGGAGAATGGAATAATCCTTATTTAACTCTCAATCCAGAATATGAAGCTGCTCAGGTATGTGGTAAACATATGTTTCCTATGAGTGTCTTTTCAGTTCCAGTGATATTCAACACATACCGTTCTATTTAGCTTTGGCCTTTTTCTTCTTTTTTTGATAAATGATAGCATTTTATTAATAAAAAGGGATTGCATCAATATTTAGAAGACAAACTATCCCAATAGGGACGCAAGTTGCGACCCCATTCTACAATGACCCAAATTACAACTGAGCCAAGAACAGTTCAGACTTAAACACCCCCATCTTCACAAAATGATCAGCCATTCCATTTGCAGACTGCCTTTCCCATTTCACAAGAACTGTCATGTCTCTAATAAGCCATTTGAACTTTTTCATAGATTCATTGTACTTCCAACTCACTGTTTCTGGTTCCTTCAGCCACCCTATTATCAATTTAGAGTTACCTTCAATGAGCAGTCTATCAAAATTTAACTGTCTCGCAATCTGTACCCCTTGCAAGATTGTTTGGAACTCCGCAATAACTGAGTCTCCTATTCCAACCGGGCCTGAGAATACAGCAACAATAAGTCCTTCATTGTTCCTGAAGACTGCTTTGGCCTTTTTCTTCCCTGAGAAGTAAGAAAAAAATTGAGCAATGGGTAGTTTATGTAAAGATAGAGAAAAATCCCCACAGATCAACACTTTACAGTATACCATAACTTTAATGGCATCCATCAACTTGTGGAAGGAGACAATATGCTACTATGATGGAATGTTAGCATGATGACTTAATGTGTTGTGCAATAGGTTATGTACAACTTTTCATAACTTATGGATGATACTGTGTAGACCTACTCTGTATATGGCTCTTATACATGATTATGGGTTTTTATCCCTTACCTGTACATATTTTCTTTATGCGGCATCATATATACATACGTGTTTATAGGTTTCTATCCTCCTAAATACATACATGCATGTATACATGCATGCATGGTAGATGGATAGACACACACACACACCTTTCCTTTTTACCTATCAACTCAGATGAATTCAACAAAGCCTTATGCCAATTATATGGGTTGGCTAAACAAATCCTTTCTTCCTATATACTCTATAAAGTTCCACATCCTCTATTGAATTGCGACCTCTTAGATTACTTCTTGCAATTTGCTGGAAGGGAGGTGCAAGAAAAAAGGGTTGCTTGGGAAATTTCTAAAGGAGGGGAAGAGGGGGATGGGAGATTAGTAGGTTCCAATGTTTTAAAAACCAACCCGGAGGCTGAAATGTTTTTTCTTCAGGTCGCGGGTCACCGGTTTGACTGGCCGGGTCTAATGGTTCAGACCGTGAACAAATAATGTATAAACATGTTTTCGATATGTTATATGTATTATTTTATATTTAATTTATGTTTTTAATTCAGTTTTTAGTTTTTTTATTTATAAAAAATATTAAAAATTGCAATTTGAGGCCAAAAGGGGTTTTTTCGTGAAAATAGTGGGGCAAGGCGCCTACGACTCCTTGGGATGCATAGACCTCGAAAAGCTACCCAAAATAAAAAACCCCAGTCGGAGATCAGAGTGCGAAGTTATGGTCTCTGAAAGTTTGCATGTATTGAGTGTGCAACCCGCAACCTGGTCACCGAGTAGAACGGGTCAACGGTCAAACCGGTTGAACAGTTTTGACTATCTGATAGGTCTCGACTGAACCGAACCCGGTTCGACCGGCTGGGTGACGGTTTGAACGGTTCAACCGGCCGGGTCAATGGCAGGTTGAAACCATTGGTAGGTTTGGTGGAAGAGGAATAGAAGGGCTGTTGGAGGGGGAGGGGAGGTGCAGAAAGTGAAGCTTTTATCATGGAATGTAAGGGGATTGAGAGTTGGGAAGAGAGAAGTGGTTAAAAATCTTTTGAGAAAATACGGTCCAGATGTTGTACTACTGCAAGAAACAAAGTTGGAGTCTTTTGATCTAAGGTTAAAGAATGAGATTTGGGGGTCAAATATAGGAGAGTGGGCCGAGCTGGTGCAGTTTTTTGTTAGGGAGTATGGAGCTGTATCCCATTTGCAATTTGCTGGAACATTTGGAAGGAGAGGAGCAGATGGACTTTTGAAGACAAAGGCAACAGCATGGACAAGATGATCGTGGCTGTGGGCAGATTAGTGTTAGAATGGTTGCTGATTCTTCCAGAATTCAGTCAGTTAGAAAAGGAGGATTCTGGAAATAGTTTAGGAGATTCCTGGATTATCAGATTTGTAATGTGGAGCTTGTTCCTTATTTTGAAAGTTGGTCTATGTATTCGGATGATGACTTGCCACCTTTTTTGTAACTTCTTTTATCTTTAATTAAATTTTTATTTTACTTATCAAAAAAAAAAAAACTTCAAACCATGTTCTTTCTGTCTTCCAGGCTTTCGTCAGCTCTTCCAAAACCATCAGCTTGCGTCGGATTGCCCCTTCTTAGTTCTTACTGCTGCATTTGATCAGTAAAGGATTAGAAGAATACCATTAGATAATAGCAAAGTAAAGGAAGAACCAAAATGAAATTAGGGATGCTGGTTTCCATACTTGGAAGGAAGAGGAGGCATTAAGGTTAGGGGAAATTAGCAGGTTTGCCAATAAAAGGGAAAACTGGCTTCTCTTTGCAAAGAAAGTATCATTTTCCTGTTATTGTTTGTATCCATTTGCTGAACAACTTTGTTAAACCTGTCAATTTATGCCTTGGGAGATTCTGTTAAGCCATAAAGAGATTTTTTAAATTGTTGCACTTTGCTCTCCAATCCCCATTTGGGAAAGCATTCTTGATGTCCAATTGGTGTAGAGCCCATGAAAAATTTCTAGCTAAACATAGATCTACAACAGAGTTTATCTTTGCTACTGGAGGAAATGTTTCAGTGTAGTCAATAATACATGTCTTTGTGTATCCTTTTGCTACCAGGTTGACCTTATACCTTTCAACATAGTCATCTGCCCATTGCTTTACTGTGAAAACCTATGTGCACTCTATTAGCCTTTTCTCTTAGGAAAGTGAATTAGTTCCAGTTATGATCCTTGTGAGCATTAATCTCATCCACCATAGCTCTTTTTTAATTAGGTGTCCTAAAGGGCTGTGAAACATTTTTAGGGATAGGAATATTGCATTTAATGAAAACAAAGTAATGGGGAGGAGACACATAGTAGAAAAAGTAAAATGGCATATAGGGTCTTGTTACAACTGATACAAGATCTAACCCCTTTCGAACAACAATAGGCAGATGAAGATTACAAGAGTAAGGTCTAGATTACCTGGCTGAATTTGTAGACATAGCGTAGAACTTGGATTTTCCTCTTGAGAGTCAGATGGTTGAGAGCATATAACTTTTGGTTCCATGATTGGTTGCATTAGCTAATCCTTGCAGTGCTGAGTATATACACAGAAATTAGAAGAATAATGCTTTTGATCAGATATAGAAGATGGAATCTGAAATTGAACTTGTCTCTCTCTAGCATTGTGTTCTTGCTCCCCTTGAGAAGCAGGGGAAAATGATTGAGACTCAAAGATCACATTCATGGACACATTCTCCTTATAAGACATAGGATCTAATTTATAAGGAGACAACTTTTGCATGAAACAGTTATTATTAAAGGCAGAGGACAATGGAGAGTAATGGGGACATAAGAAAGAACAACTCATGATTCATCAAAAAAAAAAAGAAGAGAAAGAACAACTCATGGGGACTTGATACTATAAAACCCATGTCACTTTATAATTGATGAGATATTTTCTATTGAGAATTGCACCAACATAGAGATACGTGGAAACATTCTTGATATCTTTTTGTACAGCTTCCCATCGTACAAAGGACGTTTTGCTTTAATTCAGTTATACTTACATTTTCTCAAAAGATATGTGGAAACATTGACCTGCTGCTTTCCTGCTCTTTTGCACTATTTGTTTGGGAATACTTTTGCTCTCTATCTGGGTGCAGGTGGGTCCAGCCACAAGATGTGATAAGTCTCTTTAACCCAAACTTCCTAAGGCAGCCAAGGACAAGAGGGAGAATTATGTGGAAGGCCATGAGAGCGGCAGACTGGCAGTGGTGTGGACGATTTGGGAAGAAAGGAATGAGAGAATTTTCAATGAAACAAGCAGATCCAAGGACTTGATAGAGCATATAAAGATTAAGGCCATGTTTGGCTCAATTCTCATTCTTTCCCATTTTTACCCGAAATGAAATTCTAATATGGACAAGAATGGGTAAAAATAGACGGAGTGAGAAAATATTGCTATGTAAAAGTGTCCTATGTAAAAGTACTTTTGTAAAAGTGCTTTTATAAAGATACTTTGACAAAAGTACTTTCATAAAAGTGCTTTTGTAAAAGTATTTTTGAAAAGGTGCTTTTATAAAAATACTTTCGTAAAAGTACTTTCATAAAAGTACATTCGTAAAAGTACTTTCATAAAATACTATTATAAAAATACTTTCATAAAAGTGCTTTTACAAAAATGCTTTCATAAAAGTACTTTTATAAAAATGCCTTTATTAAAGTGCTTTCATAAAAGCACTTTCGTGTAAAGGTACTTTTATAAGAGTGCTTTCATAAAAGTACTTCCACAGTAGTCCGCTAGTAAACATCTATGGAAGCAGTTTTGTAGGCGGAGTTTCCTTGAAGAATGAAAATGAGCAAGATGGGGCATGATTATTTTTCATGCTGCAGGCTACCTCAACTTTTGTGATATGGGCTGATTTTTCATTCTAAAAAGAATGTGGCCCATGGCAAAAATTTTGTAACCAAACACTCTAATGTTATTCATTCTTGCCCATAATGAGCAAGAATTAAAAGAATGAGGCCCAGAGCAATGAACCAATCATGGCCTAAAGTGGATCATTGGGTAAAAAGTATGGACTCTTTCCAAGATTTCAGAGTGAATGATATATTAAGGAAATGGGCTTAAGTGGCACAATCTTCCAAAGAAGAAGACCAATTCCTCATGGAATGGAAGTCTCCTCCAAACAACATGATAAAGTTAAACTTTGATGGAAGCTCTATGGGCAATCCAGGACTGGTGGGCATTGGGG